TTTGTAGCACAAATCTGAAAGCTTAACCTGAATCTTGTTGCTAGAAGGTGTTTATATCCACCCCCCCGGGGATCCCACCTCTAGCATTGCAAATTGGAATGGTTTATCTAGGTAGTAAGCAAGCATTCCTAACTACAAAATATTTCTTTGAAAGAGCAGAGGTGCGTTTCTACTAGAATCATCGATTTCGACACTGTAGTAGGTCCTGCCTCATTGGATAAACAGAACAGGGACTATGTGGAGGAGCTCCCCCTGCCCCCTGGTGGTTTTAAGTATAACTCTTTAACAGTTTCAGTGAGGTTTAAATGACATAAACTGCACAGGTCTAAACGTACCAAAACTTCGGTAAGTTTTGACATATGCGCATGAAAGCACTATGAAATCATCACCACAACCAAAATAATAAACATATCTTTACCCTCAAAATTTTCCTTATGCCCCTTTGTCACCCCTCCTTCCCACCCCTCCCCACCCTCTCCTAGTATTGTTGGTTTACACTTAAACAATAGAAATTACCCAATCTGAACAACAGAATAAGCACACTACAAAAAAATAAGCAGAGCCTCAGATACATATGGGACTACAACAAAAGATCTAATGCTTATGTCATCAACGTCCCAGTAGGAAGTTGAAAAAAATAGCCAAAGAAATAAGAAAATAATAATACAACCCACAGAACGGGAGAAAACTTTTGCAAGTCATATATCTGATAGGGGGCTTGTATCTAAACTCTCTAAAGAACTATTCCACTCAATAAAAACACAAATAACCTGATTTTTTAAATGCACAAAGGATCTGAATAGACATTGCTCCAAAGAATATAAACAAATAGCCAACAAGCCATGAAAAGATATTCAACATCCTTAGTCATCAGGGAAATGCAAATCAAAACCACAATGAGATACCACTTCATTCCTACTAGGGTAACTATCACCAAAAGACAAAATGAATTTGGCAAAGATGTAGAGAAACCCTTATTCATCACCGGTGGGAATGTAAAGTGGTGCAGCCATGGTGGGAAACAGGTTAGCAGTTCCTCAAAGAGTTAAGCAGAGAATCACAGTATGACCCAGCAATTCCACTCCTAGATATATACCCCCAAAGAAAACACTAGTCCACACAAAAACTTGTACAAAAATGTTCATAGCAGGGGCACCTGGCTGGCCTCAGTCAGAAGAGCATGAGACTCTTGATCTCAGGGTTGTAGGTTCAAGCCCCATGTTGGGAGTAGACGTTACTTAAAAATAAAATCTTTAAAAAAATGTTCATAGCAGCATTATTCATAAGAGCTAAAAAGTAGAAACTCAAATGTCTTTCAACAGATGAATGGATAAATAAAAATGTGGTATATCTACACAATGAAGTATTTTTTGGCAATAAAACAAAATGAGGTATTGATATAGGTACATGAATGAATCTTGAAACATAATGCTCATTCAAAAATGCCAGTTACAAAAGACCATATGTTGTGCGATTGCACCTACATGAAATGTCCGGAATAGGCAATTCCATTGAGAGTAAATCAGTGGTTACCACAGGCTGGAGAGATAGAGTCCTGGGAAGGTACTGCTTATGCATATGGAGTATCTTGTTCTTAAGTTCTTAAATTGATTATGGTGATGGTTGCACAACTCTGTGAATAAACTAAAAACTACTAAACTGTTAAGAGAAAACTTAAAAAGAAGAAATTTTAGGAGAAAAACTTCCAAGTTTGGCAAAAGACAGATCAACCTACAGATTCAAGGAGAGCAAATCCCCCCCAAAAAATAATCTGAAAGAAATCTATACCAAGACACATCATAATCAGACTTCAGAAAACTAAAGCCAAAGAAAAGTTCTTGAAAGCAGAGAAAGGAAAAACAATACCTTGTCTGTAAGGGGAAACCATTCAAAGGAAAGCAAATTGTCATCAGAAACCAAGAAGGCCAGAAGAAGTGACATATTTGTAGAGTGGTGAGAGAAAGACTGTCAGCCTGAGCCTGACACCTGGCTCCGGGACCTACTCTGAAAGCATAAGAACTATAGTTGTATTAGTTGCATTGTTAACTTAGCTCCACATTGTTTTGTTCCCTACCTAATTAACCTTTTCCACTCCTACTCCCTGTTTACCCACTGATGAGAATGGGATGGTAACACTGGTCTTGACATATCTGATCATGCCAGGTCCCAAATAGTGCCTCATTGTCCAGAAGAATGCTCACCTCCAGATTGTTTCAACCCCCCCCACCCCCCCACTGAAGGTTTTAAGAAACCCCTTACCCTTCTCTCATGCATGTAAGCTCAACAGGGCAAGGCAGATTTGGGCTGCCCTTCTGATACTAAAGCTTTCTTTGTTTCAAAACCAGCGTCTCAGACATTGGCTTACTGTGCACTGGGGACATGGACAAGTTTGAGTATGGTAACAATCCTGCAATTCTGTATCTGGTGAAACTATTCTTTAGGAATGAAAAATAAAGAGATTCTCACTGAAGGAAAACTAAGAGAATTTGTTAGCTAGAGGAAGTTCTTGAAGCAGGAAGGAAATGTGTGAGATAATAGATTTATTTACTTTCTTGTTTGCTTATTTATTATAGAAAACAGATATATATATGGTAGAAAATAGAAAATAAAATACATATTGCTCTCTGCACCCAGTTGCTGGCACAGAGATCCTAAAACCACTGTCATTTCTTTTTTTTTTTTTTTTTCAAAGATTTCATCTATTTATTCATGAGAGACAGAGAGAGAGAGAGAGAGGCAGAGGGAGAAGCAGGCTCCCAAGGAGCAGGGAGTCCGACGCGGGACTCGATCCCAGGACGCTGGGATCATGACCTGAGCCGAAGGCAGACGCTTTAACCATCTGAGCCACCCAGGAGCCCCCAGTCATTTCTTAAGTGATAAGCGCACTGGCAGCATCTTTTGTTCTAATAGTTGGTTTTTGACCCTAGTTCCTGACACTTCCTCAATCCCTTGGAATTTCTTAGGTGATGGCACGGTCTTTTGTTCTAATGAGGTGACTCTTGGTGGGCTCCTGGATGGGGTCTGGTCACCAGAAAGACCAAGCCATGATTAGAAGCTTAGAATTTTCAGCTCCACCTCCCATTCTCCAGAGAGGGGAGAGGGGCTGGAAATGGAGTTAATGATCCATCATGCCTATGTGGTAAATGTGGTAAAGCCACCATAAAACTCCCAATAGTACAGGGCTCTGGGGGTTTCTGGGTTGGTGAACACATGGAGGTGCTGAGACTGGTGCATCCTTTCCCACGTACCTTGCCCGAGGCACCTCTTCCATCTGGATGTTCATCTGGATCTTTTATCATATCCTTTTATGATAAACTGGTAAACAGGAAGTAAACTGAGCTGCTTTAGCAAATTCATCAAACCCAGTGAGGGTGCTGTGGGAACTCAGAAGCACAGGGGACAATACACTTAATGACTGGCATCTAAAGTAGGGTGAGGGCGGTCTTGTGGGACTGAGCCCTCAACCGGTGGGATCGGACCCCACCTTCAGGTCAACAGTGTCAGAATTGTGTTAAGTTGCAGGACATGCCAACTGCCTGGGGGAGGAAAACCCCCACAAGTCTGGTGTCAGAAGTGTTATGAGTTCAGCAGTAAAGGGGATATGCAGGAGAACTGGGTGTTTCCCTACTCAGAATGCTAACAGAAAGACTCTGGGAGGTCAGGAAAGAACAACTGAAAGAATAAAAATATGGGTAGGGCACATCTGGCTGGCTCAGTGAGTGGAGTGTGGGACTCTTGATCTCAGGGTCATGAGTTCGAGCCCCACATCGGGGGGTGGAGTTTACTGAATGAATGAATGAATGAATGAATGAATAAATAAATAAAGGGACCTGGGTGGCTCAGTCAGTTAAGAGTCTGACTCTTGATCTCAGCTCAGGTCTTGATCTCAGGGTTGTGAGTTCAGGGCCTGCGTGGGGCTCCATGCTGGGCATGGAGACTACTTAGAAAACAGAAAAAGAAAATGAAAAAATAAATAAATAAAATTCAAAAATATGGGTAAATACAATAGGCTTTTGTTTTCTTCTTGAGTTTTCCATATTATGTTTGATGACTGAAGCAAAAAAGTATATCTAACTTGGTCCTAAATGTAGGTAGAGGAAATTTTGAAACAGTTATAGAAACTGGGGAAGGTAAAGGACTTAAAGGGAGGTAAGGTTTCTACACTTCAAAAGGGTAAAATATCAACACCAGTAGACAGGTGATGAGTGATGTATGCATAATGTAATACCTAGAGCAACCACTAAAACAGCATACAAAGAGGTTTAAAAGAGAATTTCTAGAGTCAAAAAGAACAGGGTTAGGGCGCCTGGGTGGCTCAGTCGTTAAGCGTCTGCCTTCAGCTCAGGACATGATCCCAGGGTCCTGGCATCTAGCCCCGCATCGGGCTCCTTGCTCAACAGGGAGCCTGCTTCTCCCTTTGCCTGCCACTCCTTCTGCTTGTGTTCCCTCTCTCGCTGGGTCCCTCTCTGTCAAATAAATAAATAAAATCTTAAAAAAAAAAAGAACAGGGTTTGCCCATTTTCCTCTACTTTCTGAGTGACTGTAGTCAAGTACTTAACTGCTCTGTAAAATGAAGTTAATAACATTCATTTTGGACAAATCAAAGTTAATATATATTAGCTATAAATATTATAGCAATTATTTTGCATATTATTTTTTATTGTATCAGGCTATAAGCCCTGTCTTCCTAATTCATTTACTTTTGCTAGTTTAAATGAATATTTAAAGTAGCCTTGAAGGGGTACCTGGGTGGCTCAGTCGGTTAAGCATCTGCCTTTGGCTCAGGTCATGATCCCAGGGTCCTGGGATTGAGCCCCGCATTGGGCTCCGTGCTCAGCAGGAAGTCTGCTTCTCCCTCTCCTTCTGCCTGCACTCTGCCTGCTTGTGCTCTATCAAATAAATAAAATCTTAAAAAATAAATAAATAAAATAAAGTCGCCTTGAATCTATGTATGTACTGTTCCTATCACAGTTCCTAGTATATACCACATGCTCAAAAAGTTAAAGCTATAGTTATTTATTAGTTGTCAATAAAGAAGGTTGGCCTGTCCTTTAAAAAGAAAGTGACATTCCAACATGTGAGGGGTTGAGCCTCCTGTAGGTGCTGGATAGGACCAGCTGCTGCAGCTGTATGAGGCCAGAGGGAAGCTCAGGTAGCGGCTCTCTTTAAATTCGACCAAACTGAGCGCTTCATTCCCTGTGCGGCCTTCACTTCGTCCCAGTCCAGTTTGACGTCTGGAACCTCATCTTCTGGCTCGGGATCCTTTCTCAGGACTCCCTGCGGGGAGGCCACCACGATGGGCAGAGGGCCACATTCCTCCCGGAATTCTACAACGTGGAGGCTCTTCTTATCAGCCAGCTGTTGATGGGTTTCCTGGGCAATACCAAATTGAGAACACCAGGTTAGGTCTATGAGAAACATCTGTAACTGAAAGAACAGGAACGTCCACGTACCACTTGGGGGACTTCCATTTCAGAGGATTCTGGGTAATGTATCTTGCAGCTAAACCATGGTACCTGGAGTGAATGGTATCATCTCCCCACTAGAATGGAGGAAGGGCCCCTGCCGCTGGTCTCTTGCCTTCCAAACCCCCCCAATTATGTGCCATGCCATGCCCAAAACTGAACTTGAATCTTATCAAGCCCCTAGTTCTAGCTACTGTTTTACAGGACATGCAGGGAGAGAAGACATTAAGAACCCACGGGTATTTAGCAGCACACTGGGAAGCTACAGGACAAACAACCCAGTTTCCAAGGAAAAAAAAGAGGGAAACCTACAGATTAGAAGTGCCCTAAAAGACATGGCAAGAACTTATAATGTATTGACCTTTTCTGCACTCTAACTCAAACGAATTATGCAAAAAACTTTTGTAAAATTCAAACAAATGGATATGTTACTACAAACACTACCTAGGTAATTGATGATACTGCGGCACTGTTAACTTTTAGGTATAATAGTAGTGGGGGATAATTTTTAATCCTTATCTTTTAGAAATACATACTGAAATACTTATGAATGCTACAAGGTGATGTCTGAGACCTGGTTCAAAACAACTGGGCTGCAAGGGGGAGGTGCTGAGAGACAAAGGTTGGCCACAGGCTGCTAACTGCTGGCACTGGTGAGAGGGCCGTGCGGATTCATTACAAACAGCAGCCACAGAAGTCTGGAAAAAGGCAAATACACTGAGTAGATGGCTTAGTGATAGTACATTAAAATAGCTGGTATGCCCAACCTCATGTTTCCAGACTCTATGGCCATCTTGTACTATTCTAATTCTATGTAAGTTTGAAATTAGAAAAATGAGCTATTTCATAAAAACAAAATAAAATAATTTAAATTAGTGGGTCTTACAATCAATGGCATATTGCTTAAATTGGTGACGTTCTTTTTCTTTTCTAGTGGCACATGAAATAATGTAACATTTTATTTATTTATGTATTATTTTTATTATTTTTGAGAGCACATGTGCGGGCGGGGGGGGGTAGTTTGGGGATATCCCAAGCAGACTCCACCCTCAGCACAGAGCAATGTGGGGCTCAATCTCATGACCCTGAAATCTTGACCTGAGCCGAAATCAAGAGTCAGTCGCTTAACTGACTGAGCCACCCAGGCGCCCCAAATAATGCAACATTTTATAGTTGATGGCATTTTAGAAGAGATGATACATGGTAATCATATCAGAAAATTCAAAGTACTAACATAAAACAAAAATATTACAGGGGCACCTGGGTGGCTCAGTCTGTTAAGCGTCTGCCTTCGGCTCAGGTCATGATCCCGGGTACTGGGATCAAACCCCGCTTTGGGCTCCCTGCTCAGCGGGGAGCCTTTTTTCTCCCTGTCTCTGCCCCTCCCCCCACTCGTGCACACACTCTCTCTCTCTCAAATAAATACATTAAATCTGTAAAAAATAAACAAAAAATATTACATAAAAGAACAAGTCTACTTGATCATAAATATAACCTATCTAAAACCAATATCTTAGTTACATCAAACAAACCTCTAATGAGAAGTCTGAATTTAGAAGTGCTTTTGAAGCATATTTTAGATAGTACCAACACACACACACACAACTGTTCAAAAAGGATCTTTTTTTTTTTTTTTAAAGATTTTGTTTATTTATTCATGAGAGACAGAGAGAGAGAGAGAGAGAGAGAGGGAGAGGGAGAAGCAGGCTCCCAAGGAGCAGGGAGCCCGATGCGGAACTCGATCCCAGGACCCTGGGATCATGACCTGAGCCGAAGGCAGACGCTTAACCATCTGAGCCACCCAGGCGCCCCAAAAAGGATCTTTCAACCAAAGCTTTTCTTCCAATTAATTTTCCTATTTTACACAGAGATACGTACAATTATTCCACGGACCACTTTACTCAAAATCAGCTATCACACTTTCTAAATATCAGGAAGACTGTCAAAGTTGAATCTCTTGAACCTGGCTGTCTTTTCTGCTCATCCAGCTGCTAAGGTCTACCCAGCCCTTCAAGGGACAGGCCATCCTTTGGAGCAGGTGAGAGGGCAGCCCAGGAGAAGGGGCTTCTCTGCTGTGGAGCAGAGCGACTGTGCGCCTTGCCCAGGCTGAGCGGGGCAGGCTGGGTGGCAGCCCAGGGCTCTCATCTCTGCAGAGAAATAACTTGGCATTTTAATGTTCATAGTTCAGGGCGCCTGGGTGACTCAATCGTTAAGCGTCTGCCTTCGGCTCAGGTCATGATCTCAGGATCCTGGGATCGAGTCCCACATGGGGCTCCCTGCTCAGCGGGAAGCCTGCTTCTCCCTCTCCCACTCCCCCTGCTTATGCTCCTGCTCTATCTCTCTCTCTGTCAAATAAATAAATAAAATCTTTAATGTTCATAGTTCCTTCTAGCTTGGGTGTCCGTCTGAATGACCTATGCGGGTAACATGAAAACCGGCTGTGCTTCTCCTGAAGACAGTGCTCTCGAGTGGAAAGGCTTCACTCTAGTCCCAACTGAACAGACTAAATTAGTAACAGCCTTTCTCTTTCTACTTTACATTTCTATACCGTAAGAGTTGTAGAACAAGCATAAATTCTTTTCATAATAAAACATAGATTATAATTACTGGCTTTTATAAATATTTCATTTCACTTTAAAACAGCCATGAAGTATTTTTTAAAGGGTAATTTTCATGAACTCTCCAGCTGGAGTAACTAAACTGATGCAGCCACAGGCAGCAAAGAATGCCCAAGTGCTCAGGCGGCGCCGGGACAGCAACTCCAAGAGGCTCCCAGGACATCACGGTCTAAATGCCCACAACTGAAATATGAACACGAACTTCTATTTCAGAGCCCAGGGAAGGGTTACCTGGTGGGAGAGCCCATGGAAGAGGCCCCGTGTGAGGTTGAGCATGTTGACGGACCCAGAGACCTTGGCATACATGTCTTTGATGCCAATGAGCCGGCAGATGGTGATGATGGCCCGATGGCAGCGGAGGCCGTAGCCTAGAAAAGGAAAAACGCCATCAGTCACCCTGCTGCCTTTCACACAGCTTTGGCCTCTGAGTTTGGGAGGCCCTGGTTCACATTCTGGATTCACCACTTCCCTGGAAAACTTCCATAATGACACTGATTTAAGTGAGATGTTATAAAGACTAAAAAAATAATGGGCAAAAGCAAACCATGTGGGCAAAAAAACAGGGATGTTATAAAGATTAAGAGAAATGCGTGGAAGTTCTTGACCCCCCCAGGCCTGAGCTGGCTAATAGAGGGACACATCTGTTTTCACCCCCTCAATTGCTCAGTTGCACCGAGACCTTCCTCCTCTTCCTGGAAAAACTCCTTTCTTGGCTTTGGTAACACACCCTCTCCTCCGTTCCCTCCAAAACACAGCATCTTAACTGCTGCTTTCAGGCACTTAGTGGAACTTGCTTATCTGATGTTTCCCCCCAGTAGAATGTGGGCTCTGTGAGGGCTAAGAAATTATTTCTATTGTATCCTCAGAGCCTAGATCAGTACCCAGCAAATGCAGGTAGCAGTGAGAGAAAGACACCCCAAATTTAGACTCACATTTTGATTAGCCAGATATGGAACTCAGCACACACCTCCCTGCTTTAAGGTAGAGGATCTACTCTATGTTACTGGCTTTCTAATTTCCAGTTTGTAATGGTAATTCAATATATGTATATAAAAACTCTATTTGGATCCAAGCACCTAACACAGAACCATCCCTTCTACTTGAAAGAGTCAGTTAAATGTGGATCCCAGAGCTATGCCAGATCATGTGAAAACTAGCGACCTCAGAGGGTAGCTAAGACAGGCAACAACAGGGTGGTTTGTCCTTCTGTGCGGAGTTATATACACAGAACAAGTGTCCATGTGTGAACAAATGCATGCATGCACAGATGTGTATAAATGCACACACATCTAGAGACTGGTGCCCATGAAAGAGGGTGCAAGGCAGATCGTGGAAGGGCCTGGAAGGCAGACTCTAACCTGCTACTGCTCACTGGATGATCCCAGGCAAGAGCCTCCCTTCTCCTCCACACCTACTCAGCAGAGGTGATGCTGAGCTCCCAAGGGAAGGCAGGTAGACTGCACAGTCCCTGGACCACACACGACACTCCCCAAACAGTAGCCGGCTTTGTACATATACAAACATCCATGTAAGAGTGGTCACAGTCCTGTGGTAATTATTTGAATGTACTTTGATTGTGAACACTTCCAGGCAGGCACTGTGTCAAAACCCCGGTTTAATCAAAGTTAAATTTGTGTGTGTGTGTGTGCATGTGTGTGTGTGGTGTGATATGGGACGTGCTTGGCAGTGCTGTGGGAGGCATTAGACATCATGCTGCAGCCAAGGAAGAAGCGTCCCATGGTCAAATCAGTTTGCGAACGCCGCCTTCTCCATCCCCCCGGGAGATTCACATTGCAGAGCATGAAAGACTGCAACAATCCCAAAGATGTACAAGCATCTTTTCTTACTTTCCCTGTTTTCCCACGTGGCACTCTTTCTGGAGTTCACACCTTAATTAATACCTCCTCACAGAAATAGCAATGCACAGGAACATAGTTTAGGAACTGCTATCTATAACACAGCCTACTGTTTTAGCTTCAAGATCAGAATATTTAGCCCCAATGCACAGGGAACGGGTTCAACTATATAGAAACCTGAAAAATACAGCTTCAGGAGACAGGGAAGATAAAAAAAGCAAACTTCAGCAATTAATTCAGCCATCTTTCAAAAGTCTTTCAGATACAAATGTATCTACACCAACACTGTCCAACAGAAATAGGACATAAGCCATAAATGCAAGCCATCTATGGAATTTTAAATTTTCACATCAACGCATTTTTTAAAAAGAGGTAAAATTCATTTTAGTAATGTCTTTTCTTAACCTAATATCCCCAAAACACTATCATTTCAACATGCGATCAATAATAACTTTGAGATATTTTATCTTCTTTTTTTCCCACACTGAGCCTTTGAAATCTGGCGTATACTTGACACTTGGCAGCAGCCACCTTTCAAGTGCTTGAGAGCCACTCGGGGTCCCAGCTACCCCGGGAACAGCACAAGTCAAGAAACCCTGACGTCTAAGTGTGCGACTCAGCACTTTTCTAATAAAAATAAAGGTTTTTATTAAGCATATAAATGATTATGATTTTAATGGAGAAGGCAAGTTCTCTTGGTGCACAATTAGTATGGAATTTGATGTTTTTTCTTCATTTATTTCCACATACTAGAAGCTTTGACATGAAAAATTTAGATATTTTATCTTTTTCTGATCCAAACTTTTTAAGACATACCTAGAGTATCATTTTTACTGTAGAACCACAGGCTAAACACAAATCAAAGTGCTCAAAGAATTGTATCCCCAGGGTCCACTGGGCATGACTGCCCCAGCTCCATGACCCTGGGCTCTGCCTGCCTGCTCTCCCACGGGACAGGAAGGTCCACCTCGGCATCCCCAGAGCTTAGCATAGCAACCAGCTCACAGTGTTCAATCGATACTTGACAATGCGAATGAATGACTGGAACCGAAGAAGCTGTAAGAGTCCGCCATCTAATACCATCAATAATTCTCCAGGAGGAACTGATGGTCCCACTCATCCAAACCCAACAACTCACTCAGTTGCGCTTTCCCATTCAGAGTGTGCTCTTTCCACCCAGATTGCCCTGGAACATGCCTGTGTTCATGGGAGCCTGAGGAGGCTGACTACTTTTTATTTCCCTGAGAGCCGCAGCCTGCTTAAATCTAACGTAGGCCTTTCCTTTCTGGTGCTTTCAAAAGGGAGTTCAATACATGTGATAAAAAAGAGAGGACAGGATGGATCTGTGATAATTTCTCTGCTTTATCTTTAACAAATTATAAGAGTATTTTTGGTTACCTCTGGGTTGTTTCTTCATCTTGATATGTGTCCTTTTAAATCTTAAAGAAATATCGTGGAATACTGGAGGGTAAAAACATAAACATAAGAAGGATTAGGTGTGTAGCTTTAATGCCCTTGTAAATACCACAGTGCAACTAATACTACCCTAAGCAGCCAGCACACACTGGCCAAGGATGAGTGACAAAACTCTGATTTCACTCATTACTAACCTTCTCAGGGGAGAAAATTTGTTTCTGTATTTTACACAATTATTTGTTCCAGAACATGGTAACCAGCACAGAAACACAAAGATAGCCATAGAGCTAAACTGTCACACTTAATGAAACAAGTGTAATCCTGCAAATTTTACAAGAGAAGATGAACACTCACTCGTATGGTCTTCGTATCGTTCTATATAATGCAAATAGTGAACTGCTCTGTTCTTCGCCTGAAAGAAAGAAGGCAAATAGTTTTCTTAAATCTATTGATGGAATTTACATTTTCTTGGAGATTTAAAAAAAATACCTTCCATAAAATATTTTATTACAGAAAATTTCACACTTATACAAAAAATTATATACTTCTAAAAGCTAAGGATTTTAATTTTAAAAATTTGTTAACAGTATCACTATCACACGTAAAAAACATTAACAATAATTCCTTAGTATCTTTGAACATCCTGTCAGAGTTCCAACCTTCGCAGCTGTCTCCCACTTTTGGTAAGCAATCACAAGTCTGCTAAAACCAAGGGAAAAGAAAACAGGTGCTGCTAAGGCTGCTTTGGGGGAGATAAGTAACTTCTGACAGGAAGCCTCAGGGGAAGGTTCTTACTTTCATTGTTATTTTTTTGTAGTTCTAATGGTGACTAGCACACTGATCTTTTACTATCAACAAAAGAAAAATGTACATACTTTTCTGAAAGCATCCATCCGATCACTGGCCTTCCCAACAGCAAACCCTTAAAAAAAAAAAAAAAAAAAGTAAAACTATAAAAAAGGGCATAAATTTGGCACACAATGTCTTTCACCACATTTCAAGTATCAGTTCCTACAATATTGCACAGCATTTCATTTGTCTTCTGCCCAAAGAAAACCTGTTATCCAAAACAAATGATAAAACATGAGGCTATAGGGGGGCACCTGGCTGGCTCAGTTGGAAGAGCATGCGACTCTTGATCTCAGGGTTGTGAGTTCGAGCCCCACACTGGGTTGTAGAGATTACTTAAATAAATAAAACTTAAGACAAAACAAAGCAAAAACAAAAACATGAGCCTATAGAGACTCACTTATGTTTTGGGGCATTTGGGAAAGATTACATTTGAAATTATCTATGAAATCCAAGGTTAGGTATATAACACTAACTTTTATAAACCTCTAGATAAAACTAAATATACTTTAAAAAAACTTAACCATGCTCTAAATTAGTAAGATAAATGGTTTTGAACATTTTTAAAAATAGATTAAAATAACCAGAAAGGTTGGGTAAAAATATATATTGCTATAGAGTAAAACCACGACTTCACTGGAACTTTCAAATGCAATTCAGATTTCAATTAACCAGGAAATAAAATCAACAATTCTAAGTTTGTGAATGCTTAACCTTATGAAATGAGATTTATCACAATTTAACAGAAATGTTGCCATTATTTGCTATTATGTTAATTATTTACTTTGAAGAATGTATTTTATTTTTAAATTACACATAGGAAAGTAATATAAAGTAATACTGCTCCATGAGATAGAAATGCAAGACATCTGAGAACCCGGGACAAAAGGGGCTGTAGATTTTAATCCCTAGTTTTGGGGGGTTTTTTTAAAGATTTTTTTTTTTTTTAATTTATTTGACAGAGAGAGAGAGACAGTGAGAGAGGGAACACAAGCAGGGGGAGTGGGAGAGGGAGAAGCAGGCTTCCCACAGAGCAGGGAGCCCAAAGCGGGGCTCGATCCCAGGATCACGACCTGAGATGAAGGCACTTAATGACTGAGCCACCCAGGCGCCCCCTAATCCCTAGTTTAAACAAAACAAATTAAGCCATATAAGTCTTAGAGGAAAATACAAGTGAACTTGTATTGAAGGCTTTGTAAACAAGACCCAAAACTAGAAGAGATAAAAGACTGATAAAGTTGCTATATAGGGACACCTAGGTGGCTTCGTTGGTTAAGCGTCCAACTCCTGATTTCAACTCAGTCATGATCTCAGCGTAGTGAGATCAAGCCCCGAGTCAGGCTCCACACTGGGCATGAAGCCTGCTTATGATTCTCTCTCTCCCTCTCCCTATGCCCCTCCCCCGCTCGTTCTCTCTCTCTCTCTCTCTCTCTCTCAAAAAAAAAAAAAAAAGCTGCTACAGAAAGGTTTAAAACTTCTGTGGATTTAAAACTTTTGTGTAGAAAAAAATTAAAAACTAAGTCAAATGTATGATAAAGGGCTAATGTCCTTAACTTACAAAGAGCTTATACCAATCAGTAAAGAAAAGAACAATCACCCAATAGGAAAATGGGTAAAACATGTAAACTAACAGATCTCAAAAAGGAAATAATGGCCAATAAACATGTAAAATGGTGCCCAAAATCTCATAATTAAAGAAATACAAATCAAAACTAAGGGATACGCTTAACAATCAGTGAAGTTTGATAATACCCAGGGCTGGCCAGGGTGTGTTGGTACGGTAGAACGTAAACTGACGCAACCTTTTGGGAGGGCAATCTGGCAATACTTATCAACATTTAAAATGCATATAACTTTAAGGCAGCAATTTCACTGCAAGAAGCTTCCCCTATTGATATACTTGGAAAAGTACACATACAAGGAGCTCACTGGTTTTTATAAGTGGTAAAAAATGGAAATAACACATTCACCAAAAGGGAAAAGGTTACAATAGTTATGTTTCTCCACACAATGGAACGCTATGCAGTCAGTACAAAGAATGAGAGAGAATCTGTTTATGCTACTAAAGGAAGATCTCTGGGCATAATACTAAGCAAGGAAAGCAAGGTACAAAATTATGGATATACTCTGATCCCTCTGTGTAAATTTTTTAAAAAGGTAAATGGTGATATATGAATACAGAACTTCTGGAAGATATAAAAGTTAAGTGTTAAGAGTGGTTTCTTTTGGCAACATGGTATCAATAGGTGACTTGTTTTGACAGTGTCAGTATGCGTTTAAATAGGAAGTTTTCCAGTTTTCTTTCCCTAATACATCCATGTATACACTTCAAAACCAGACGTTCACTGGGGAAATTTTACATAAAAGTATAAAGAAGAAAATTTAAATGACGCACAAACCTTTAGATTAAACACTAACTTTTTTCAGTGTATATCCTTCTAGTCTTTTGTTTTCATAGAAACATACTTACATTAAAAAAACAAAAATTGAGATATCATACAGTCTTCTGTGAATTTTTTTTAGTTGCTTGTTTTTAGCATTATTTTGTAAGTAATTTTCCATTATTCTTTAATGGCTACAGAATATTACAATGTGTGGCTATACTCTTTTTTGTAACTATGTCCCTATTGTTGAACATTTAGTGGCTTTTCCCCCCTAATTTTTCACTATTATACATAATACAACAGTGTCTTAAGCCCTTTCAAATATCCATTGTTCTCCATGGAAAAGGCAGGTAGAGGAAGATCTGTTCTTTTTCCTCTAAGGGATTTTATGGGTTTGCCACAAAGTTTGTGGACCCAAACCACTCAAAAGGTTGAATCTGTACAAAGAGTCTGGGCCGCAGCAAGAACCCACAGACTCCAGAGCCAAGCCCAGGCCACACCTGTCCTTTGCCTCCACCACCAGCACCATGCCTATCACACCCCATTCACCTGCAGCTCCTCTGGCGTTCCCCACCGCGACCAGGACACGGACTGATTTCTTTCTTCCCTCTTTTGCTGTCATATTGAAAACATTTCTTACCTAAAAGACAAAATGTTTCATATATATTACACCTTAAGAAAATTCTGGGGGCGCCTGGCTGGCTTAGTCAGTAGAACATGCAACTCTTGATCTCGGGGTTGTTGAGTTCAAGCCCCACGTTGGGTGTGGAGATTACTTAAAAATGAAATTAAAAAAAAAAAGAATATTCTGAAGTGAGGAACCGGAGTGACCTCGTTACACACACCCGCCCATGCCAAGTAGCTACATCATCGTCCAAGTCATGAGCACCAACAGCAAACTTTCTCCAAAGGAAACCTCTCTCCGCACTATTTCTTCAGTGGTGAAATGGACATAAGACTTTCCCTTCCTATTTCATAAGGTTGTTAGAAGGTTGGACTGAGATATCTTTTGAAGGGATTCAAAACTCTACAATTTAATATACACTATTTTAATGAACTTCACAAAGGAAGAGAGTTGCTGATTAAATTTTGAAAGAATTTATAACTGATAACATATCCCAATTATCAGAGATGTTAAGATATGAAAAAATGTGCATCTTAGAAATGAATGAAAATGCAGTACATAGAAAGAATTAGGATAAGACTGGATCTCTATGCTAAGGATTAGGCTCACCTGATAATACAAAATTTGGAAATACCTGCTTATTATAAACTACAGGAAATTCTATGTTTTATTTTGTTTGCTTATTTTGTTGTGGTTTTTTTTTGGTGTATTTAAAAGGCCAGGAATTATCAACCTGTTACCTTTAACTGCTTACATGGCAAGTCCTTTCCCATAAAATAAGGTTAAAGGAAAAGGAAGCTCTAGTCCACACCCATGGATAATCTTACAGGAAATCATCCACGGATACAGAATTTTTCAAAGGGATTACTTCCAAAAGGTATAAACTGGGACCCAAAGACATAAAATGCTTGTAAACATATTTTAAATTACTGATAATGATGAAAGAATATACATATCCGATCACAAATCAACAAGTGGTTTTTCCATATGGTATTTAACCCTGACCACGTATGTGGTACTAGCTCAAAGGGAAGCTCACTCTCTTAGGAAGTGCCCTGGAAAGAGTGATTGAAATTTACCTGATACAGGCTTCAGTTTCAAGGACCCACAAACAGCCCTGCAGATTATTTCCTCATCAAAAGCTGGGCACTCACAGCAACTCCAAGCTTTCTTCCCCTGCCCCATGGGGTTCCTCCCCTCTGCTCTCTGAACTGAGTGCCAAATACAGCTTGTGTAGGATTCAAGGATAGATTGCTAATCCTACTTTAGCTTTAAGAGGGAGGATTTTAATAGTAATTTCCAAATTCCATTCTCAACAATACCACTGAGGTTGCCTTGTCATGAAACCACAACTGGTAACCCCCACAAAGGGCAGCAGTCAGGAGAGCCAGTATCAAGTAACTGAAATTAAAATGTCATTATTTCCTTATCCAAATCAGCCCTCTGTCTCAGAAAAAGTCATGCATCAAGGGCTTTTCCTCGGGGGCACTGGGTGTCGCAATCAGTGAAGCATCCAACTCTTGATTTCAGCTCAGGTCATGATCTCAGGGTCATGACACTGAGCCCTGCATTGGGCTCTACGCTGGGTATGAAGCCTGCTTGAGATCCTCTCTATACCTCTCCCTCTGCCCACTCCCGCCTCCATCTTCCCCTTTCCCCCACCCTGTACTCTCAAAAAAAAAAAGAGCTTTCCTCATGGTTCCTCTTGTGCTATTCCCACTCCACCCACCCCAACTTCTCCAAAGGCTCAACTGGGTATTTAATTCTGCATGCCTACCTCAAGTATCCTGGTATCAAAATCATCATATGTTTCTGTAGAGAGAAAAGAAGCAGGCACACAGATTAATGTGTCTATATAGTTAGTGCATGAAAGCATTTTTCAACACAGGCACCACCACCAATTTTTAAGTGAGAAAGAATCTCAGATCTTTTGGTGCCACTCCCTGGTCATCCATCACCAGTGACTGCTCCCGCACTAAATTCATAAACTCCGCCACCCTCTCCCTGACTGCATCATCCCACCTTTCCAGCTCTCTCACCCAACAACTCACATGGTGATGGTTCCTGGAGCTCCCCAGCACCTCCAGACTCTTGACCACTATCTTCCCTTCCCTCTAACCCTCTCTGGTCTTCACAGCCTCTACCACTCAGCCAAGACACCACAAGCCATCACTTCCACCAGATCTTGCAAATGTCCTCAATTCCCTCACCCTCTTCTCTCTCCACCCTGCTATCCAGGCCAGAATCAATGTGCCTGCCTGGCCACACCTGGCCTGCTGGGTGCTGCTGGAGAGAAGTCAAAGCACAGTACACATGTGGGCCACTAAAGATTCATGGTCTCCAACTCAATCAAGTCCTCCCTGCTGCCCACTGGCCTTTTATGTCCTTCTAGGTCTTTTTCTACTCACCACAGCAGCCATTTCAAACACTCTCTGAGTTCTTTTATTTTTATTTATTTTTCCTATAGAAAATTCCAATCATATAAAAAATAAGAGAGAACAGCAAAATGAAATCTTACATACCCATTAGCCAGCTTCAATAATTATCAACTCATAGCCAATCTTCTTTTCTCTAAACTCTTAACTCCTATTCCACTGGATAATTTTGAAGCCAGTCCCAGATACCCTGCCTCTTCATCAAAAGATTGTGGTGGCCATGCTCATCAATGCCCCCATCCTACTTTCAACAGATGACCCCACGTCCTCCTCACAGACTAACTGAAGCCACCAGACAGATAGCACTCACACACGATGCCCCCAGCATGCACACATTTCCACTACCGACCGCACAGGCTCCCCTGAATCCGTAGGCACAAGTTAACCCATTTATCCATTCTGGATCTGGGCCCTCATTAGGGATTTAGTTTACGGGTTTTTTCTCTCCAACCCATACCTTCATCCTCCCAACTGAAGCATTTTGCTCCATTCTAAGCACATTCACCTGAATCTCTCCATCTCAACTCCTCCTCTCCTCTTTAAGCCAAACTTGAGAAAGTAGCCAAACTCTTATCTATTTCTTCATCTCCTACTAATTGACAAGAGTGAGTTTTTCAGATGGATTTTTACTTCTTTACATATTTGGAATGGGGCTGGGGGGGAGGACTGTTTTCTAATTTGGCCTGATAAGTTTTATCAATTTTTTTTTTTTTAAAGATTTTATTTATTTATTTGACAGAGAAAGACACAGCGAGAGAGGGAACACAAGCAGGGGGGAATGGGAGAGGGAGAAGTAGGCTCCCCGCCGAGCAGGGAGCCCGATGCGGGACTCG